TAATCTGTTTTTTTCCTTCCAGACTGGATTTGTTCTCTTGTTAATATGCCCATAGAATGTTCATTGTATACATTAACTATCCTTATGAAGAGCAGTTACTGTTCAGTAACTTCTTCACAGGTTAATATCAGGACTATTTCACTTTTTTTCTGCAAACATCGGAGGACATTACAACTTATATAGTTCTGACTGGCAATTTCACTCTTTAAAAACCCAAAGTAAATACAGTTAGAAAAAGGACCTGAGAGAATAGATTAAATGAATGAATCTTATGCACACACAAGCACTGTGATGAAACAAGCTATTAAATTAATAGCTCCAGAAGGCTTAGGAAACAATCTTCTTTTTTAGCGCAACAAGGTGTCAACTGGGGGTTTGTGCTTTTTTGGTAAAATGTTTCACAAATAGACTGATCTCACTGGTGCTGCTTTGTTCCTGCAAAAGCTACAGCACAGCCTGGTGGCTTTCTTTTAATTGCCAAATGTTAGCACTAGGCACATGGGAAAATATTGAAGATGCACCGAGTCCAGTGTACTTCGCCTTTAGCTGTTCACTAAGGGGAAAATCTGGCTCTGTCCTGCACAGCCCTGGCAGTGTCCTGTTAAGTGGAACTAATGCAGTTCAGTATACAAAGAAGAGTAAGTTTGGGGCTGGAGTCAGGGCAGGGCTGAAGGTCCCACTGCAGCACTGATTCTTCTTATTTCCTGTATATACAAAGGTAAGGGGGCTAAGTGCCCAGTGCATATTATTTAAGTTACTGAGGTTAAATAACCACCAACAGCTGCTTCACCACCTGATCCCTTTCTCATCCCAAGCATCCAGTCTATGAGATTGAGTGCTAGGGTCAGCATTTGTGTCTCAGTGAGTAAAAACTGGATAACAGATATTAAAATGGAAACACTGACACAAACTTCAGTAGAGTGGCTCCAACGTGCTGCTAGAATACCCTCTTTAGCTGGGGAGGTGGTCAGATTGGCCAGCAGGGAATCAGAGATGTCCACCACAGGTGAGGTAGGGAGCAGTGTTTCCTCTAAGGTGGCAACAGCACAGCTTCACAGGTGATTAATCAGCCTCCCCTAGTCAGAGGCTCAGGGCTCAGTGCACATAGATGATTGGGTGGGGCTGATTAATCATCTGTGAAGTTGTGCTGCAGCCCAGCTTAGTAGGAACACTGGTAGAGAGGGAAGGCAGGGATTCTCTGCTTAGCTACTAGCAGGGTAAAAGAGGCAAGGCCAGCTCACTGGCTGCAGTGTTCCCTGAAACCATCTATTTAAGCTAAGCCCAGGCTTTTCCAAAGCCTCTTGTTCAAAACTCTCCAGTTAGCTGCCCTGCCCCCTCTCCCTTTATTTATCGTTCTGCCTCTTCTCATTATGGACTAACTGTTTGCTTGTTTTACGGATCAGGAAGGATTTTGTTTTTCACTAGGCCAAACTGGCTTGTAGTTCAGTGGGCTGTTTCTGTTCACCTTTCTTGCAGCCTCCTGATGGCACATCTGAGTTAGAAACAGTGGGATTCATGGTTCATCTCACACTGTGACTCATCACAACTTTCAGCTGTTGTCCAGTGTGGGTAAAAGCTAACAGGGCCAGCGCCCAGAGCTAAATGAGCCTTGAGAATGGGCATTCGGACCTAGTGCTCAGAGAGGAGGAATCTGAAGATTATGTGGACAGACGTTCCCCACACCCAGCCCTGTGGGTTACTCCACCACCCTTATAGGATAGGTGAGGGAGTCTCAAAACTGAGCTGAGTCCTCAAGATACACTGGGATGGGTCTACCTGAGTTGTTTGGTTTGTGGTAAAAGTCTTCTAATTTTCACTGGACCCATTTAAATACCGGATACATGAGAACCAGGGTGGGAAATATAATTTCCCTCCCCAAAGTATAATTAATAAAGCTGTGGTCTGTTCTTGAAATTCATCCCAGATGTCTTGTCAGTCATTCACTTGCTTGTCCTGGTCAACAATGGAATCTAAGTTCTAGAAACTATCAGTGATTTCATCTGGTTTCCTGCTGTAATTTATGGGAGAATTTGGCATAATTATTAGCAAACTGAATTTTCATAGCTTATCCGAATAAAGACTTTGTTCTCACACAGAGAGGAACATCCTAACCTTTAGTGCTTCCATGCCAGCCTGGATAACAGGAGCAAAGACAGTCTCACTCTCATTAGTGTCTGCAAACATCTCTGGAATCTGGTCCAACAAACTATGAGAGAGAAAAAGGATCAGTGTTTCAGCTGGTTAGAATACTTGTGTTAATACCTCAAAATCTGCAATATACCAGTCTCTGTCACACAAGAACTTGCTTCCCATGAAAATAAAAATCAAAGGAATTTTTTATAACACAAATTTTTCACAATTTTATAACACAAATTTTATAACAGAAGCACTATAAAGCTGTCAGAATTTTAAATTTTACAATTTACAGTTAAAAATGTAATGATAAAACTGACTATTATCAAGTCACACACGACACAAATAAAAATATGGCCGGCTTGTAGCATGCATGTCAGTGGAGTGAAATGCATCTAGTATACTAAACAATGCTCAAAACTCTTCTCCAATTCTTCTTCTGTCCCATATAGGGGGTAAATTTTGCCTTCAATCTCAACTTTAAGAAGTCTAGCCAATAGCCATTTTCTGTGTTTTGGAACAGGAAAAATAGGTTACGGCTTTCTAAATGCATGCTCACCTCTAACACTTTCAGATAAAAACAAATACAGAATATAATAATTACATTTATTCAAGCTAATCATCAAAATCCAAGATTTCTGGCTGATTTTTAGAAAGGATCATGATTTGCTATAAGTCATAATAAAGAGTATTCAATTCATATACAAATATGAAACATTAGTTCTTTACTTGTTCACAACTGATCGTGATTCCTGAAAGTTGACAAGAAAACCATCCAGCAAAGGAACAAAGACTTCTCCAACATCCGATACTACCATCATCTGAGGTTGTGCTAAGTTGCTTTTTATGTTAAAGAAATGAAGAACCTTGTTATAAGTGACAAAGCCAACTCGAATAGCCGATGTCTCTTCTTGCTCTTCTCTGTGAGAAAAATACAAAACAGAACTGGAAATAATTTTGAAACATGTACTTCGCAACCATAAAATGTTCTTTGAATTGCAAGGATGCTGTCAGATAACATCCGTAGAACAATCATCATCAAGATGAAATGTCCCAATCTTAGCTTCAGTGCCAGTTAATAAAATCTAATTAAATTAATTAATATAAACTTTGTTAGGATTTAAAGAAACTAACTAATCAGATGTGCTGTGACAAGTCTTTGGGCCTTGATGTCCCCTGAAAAGCTGGTGCCCAGTTAAGTTCAAGTGAGGGGAGGTTTTGTTGTTTGCTTCCCATCTTGGGAGCTCTAGGAGCAAGTGAGTTGTGAGGGAGTTTATTTGGTTTGGTTTTGCTTGTGTATGGTCCTCAGCTGATTTTTCTGTGGGTCAGTGGCTCTTGATCAAAAAAAGGTTCCCCATTGCTGGTATAAGTTGTTCAATATTGCTTGTTTCTGGCTATGTTTGCTCCTGTCAGGTCAACAATGGATAGGGGACTGCCATACTGCATATCCCACAGCTATTCTTCTTGCAGGAACTTTGCAAATAGGTTCAGCCTTTATTCTCATTAAGACAGTGCCTCTACAGCTCCCTGGGCAGCAATATTATTACTAATGCTGGTCAGAAAATGTGTCTGATTCTTTTCCCTCATAAAAACACAATAAACGTTACTTAAAAAGAAGCCCTTGGAATTACCAAGGTTCAATTCCTAATTCAGCCATCCGCACAGTGCAGCCGTCTAGACAAAGAAAGCCTTTGTCGACCACTCAGGTATGCCTCGTGAAATGAGGTTTACCGGAGCAGTTGATAAAGGCTTCCTTTGTCTAGATGGCCGCACTGTGCCAGACCAGCTGATCGTCAGAACAGCGCGGCGGCCATGTTTATTTTAATGAAGCGGGGATTACTTAAATCCCCGCTTCTTTGACTATGCCGAGTAAACTAATTTACATGGCTCCGTCGACAGAGCCATGTGTCTAGACATAGCCTAATAGCTGTGGGATTGCTGCTCCCTCATCTGTTGAGGTTAAATGGGCCAGGCTCACAGCTACCCTCACTCTCTTGTCCGGTTGCTTAGACAAGACGGCAGAAGACTGGAGGCATTTCACATACATTGTGAACAGCCACTGATGGGCATTTTTGATGGTTTGAATGTTATCAGTAATAGGTATGTATAATTGTGAACTGGCCTTGAGAGGATTGATACCAGCTGGAACTTGTTGGTCATACAGTCTGCCTCAGAGATAAAGTGCCTGCACACTGAGCCCTGAGGTCAGGACTTAAGTCAGGAGGAAACACTGCCCTGCCATGGACAAGTGGCGGCCTTCTGGTCAGCCATGATGAATCTGGCTGTACCAGATCAGTAATAACTTTGTGGAGCTTTTAAATGCCTGAAATCAAGCCATACAATGTGGCAATGGACATTCAGCACTATGGACCCATGCTGCCAAACATGTTGCGGTTGTTAGGCCTCAGGAACACTGAAAGATTCATGGAACTTTCAAGCAAGCCTGAGTTGTTTCCATGAGACAACTTTCCATGAGAAACAAGTAAAATCCCCCACTTCCAGACTCAAACTTTCATCTGTGCTGGTCTGATATTGTGGATTAATTTTAACATGAAATGTAAAGTAAAATGTGTGTGTATATGCATGCATATCCCTTTCCACACTGAACAAGTATTGCCTCTAGGTCGGGTCTGTTTTGAAAGCACAGATTACAATGAGATCATAGATTACAGAAACTTTGATTGATATATATCAATATCTCACAAATACATTTTATTTCATTTATATAAGCCAAAAACCTCTCCTTAAGTAGATGTTGGCAGACTAATTACCAGTTCATGCCAAGGTCTTCGTTCTCAGCAGGACACTGACAGACACGTAACCGGAATCTGGCTCATTTATGGTTTAATACAATATTAATAGAACAGCATGGGTGCCAGGCATTATAAGCAGGGGGAGCCTGCCCATCCCCCAGGACAGTGTGTTTCTTACAGGGAGTTGGGGTTGGCTGCATTGCCTGCCCAGTGTTCTGGTGCCCAGAGCCCAGGGGTTTTGGGTGCAGTGGCCGCACCATCCAGGAGCTAAGTGGGTGCTGAAGATGTGGCACACTATGGCTGGGCTTTGCCTCCCTGCCCCCAGATGAGCAGTGCTGGGGTCATGGGCACCAGTAGGTGTCCTTTGGGCTCCTGCAGGGGTGGGGGGGTCAAAGAGGGGGTCACATGGGAGGGAATGGGGGCTAGCCTCCCCGGCAGCAGAGTCATCGGCCACTCATAGAGTCAGGATTTGATCCTGGTTGTCCACAGTTGACTATTTTTAGAAAAACTGAGGAAATTTGGTAAGCACTTCCTCTTACCCTAACTTAAAGCCAAGTCGGGTTTGGTTGTGCCAGGAAAACGGGATGTGCCTGGAATTCAACTGTTTTCCATGACATAGAAAGGGTGATCGGAGGGATGTGACACTGTAGTCACCACTGGGGGCAGCGAGCGCAGGGGATAACTGTACTGCATAGTGACCACTGGAGGCTGCTGCACAAGGAAGGAAATGGCCGGCAGGAGCCGGGGCTCACCATCTTGCTGGCACCGGCTCAGGTAAGTGGCCACCTACTCCAAACCCCTCTCCCACAGTTCTTGGCCCCATTGCTCCCTGGGCCTGGATGTGAAAGGGAGTAGGGAGAGACAGGGCTGCACTGTCTGGCCCCGCTGCCATGTCCCCTCTCAAAGCAGCACCAGGGCCAGACAGTGCAGCCCTGTCTCCCCCCACTCCGCTTCACATCCAGGCCCAGGGAGTGCCACTGGGAGGCCTCCATGTGTCTCCCCCACCCGCTGGACCCGAACAATGCCAAGTAAGTCTTCAAGTCTAGTCATAAAATAACATAAATAACACTATGCCTGGAACAACTGTAAAAATGACAGTGTTTAAATAAAATGCCCTCTTATCTTACTACAGAAATATTTTCTTTGCAAATCAGCTGCTACTCCAAGTGGACCATTATGCATTTTTTTCTGCTGGCATAACTCCACTGATTTCAGTGGAGTCATCCCAGCAGAAACCATCGCCCATAAGCTAACCTTTGGCTGAGCCCCTGCTTATAACTCTGGACATCCAGTACTCAAATGCAGTGGGAGAAGATGAAATAAAAACAGGATTTTATTACAATTTCTACTTTGTTGAGGGTCAAGCAATAAAGAGAAAATAGCTACATAGAAGACATGGTATTTCCTATCAGACTTAGCTGTTTTCAAGATAATGCTAAAAATCACTCACCCGTGGTGATTCACAGGGTTAACTTAAAATGTAAAAACACTCATTTTTCTTGTCCGCAATCTGTAATGTTCTACATGAACACAAGAATTAATCTGCCGTTCTTGGCTCATGGGAACACAGCTGGACCATAAAAGGATTACTTTGATCAAAAATGAATCAATGGCCTATATTTCCTGTGCTACATTATGACATATTTGGAATAACTTCACAAACTGCACCTAGATAAATGAATCACATCCAAAGGGAAGGTTTTAATTCTCCCCTGCCACTCAGACACTATTATTGTGTTACTGATGTAACCACCAGGAAGGCTTTTCCAACATTCAATATCTCACTGAGGCCAAGGAATTGATAACAATCTGCAATTAAATGTTCCTTTACTGTGTTGAAAAGAGATGCACGCATTTAGCTAATCAAAACACCCTAAAGCAACATGCCTCTTGGGCAGTTCTATAAGAGGACACACTTCAACTATCACTTCAACTGTGAATTTTGCAGTTTCTTCTCTCATAATACTAACGATTAATCATGGATGTGGAAGCAGGCAGCATGAGCTAACAGGGCTCACACAGGACACAGTTTTCTTTAGCGCTTTACTGTTCGGAGTTTAATTCCTAATTTTAATTTTAATTAATTTTATATTTTAAAATAGTTTTAAGGCAGTCCACCTAAGCCATGGATTTTGATACCTAATTTTAATACCTAATTTTCAGAGTCTGATTTTGAAAGGCATTGGGCACCCACGAGTCCCAGAGACATCAGTGCCTAAATACGCGTTTTTGAGACTGGCAACTAAATTTAAACATTTTAGCCACACAGTTTTAAGCAAATAGGGGAAAAACAGGCCAAGAAAAGGCTTTAGAAAACTCTAATGACTTTTCTGAGACTTGGCATAACCTAGCCCGGGGGTTGGTAATAATTTTTGACTGGGGGTAACTTCAGAAATTTTTGAAGTGGCCTATGGCCACCCCAGAAGGGGTAGAGCCTCAGGCAGAAGGGCAGGGCAGGACACTTCCATACTTGCACACCCACAGACCCTGACTGGTCTGGAGTGAGGGAGCACTCAAAGTCCCCCTTCCAGAGAGAACTGCCAGCTGCTCTGAACAGTGCCCCTGGCAGTGAGAGAAGACATTATGTGCTCCTCCCTGCTGCCCCAGATAAATCAGAGCTTGGGGAGGTGGAGCAAGGGAAGTCTCTGGCTCCCTGCCCCCGCCCTGCAAGGGAGCTCCAGCTGAGCAGCAGCTGGCAGTTGACTTTACTGCCGAGCCCCTTGCAGGGCAGAAGGAGACTTCATGCACTTGCCCCACCCCCCAAGCCCAAATTGGCTTCAGGGCAGGGAAAGCACACAAAGTCTCTTCCCACCCTGCCCCGTGCAGTGCTTAGAAGCACCACGTCCCTCGCAGGGCAGGAGGAGGCTTTGCGTGCTACCCCAACCCACGGCCAATCAGGGCTTGTGGTCGGGGGGGAGGGAGGGAGAAGAGTGCAAAGTCTCCTCCTGCCCTGCCAGGATGGGTGATGCTTCTAAGCACCGCACACTCCTTGCAGGGCAAGAGGAGACTCTGCGCACTTCCCTCTGCCCCAGGCACTGATTTGCCTGGGGGTGAGAGAGTGGCAGAGCCTCCATAGGCTGGATCAACTCGCTTGGTGGGCCAGATTCAGCCCGCGGAGGCTCTTTTGCCCTCTCCTGACCTAGCCCCAGATCCTTCAAGGACATTTAGGAGCCTTTGATGATCTGTCCTCACTCCTTACCAACTGCAGTCTGCACTTGCCCTTTCTCCTGCTTATTAGGGGAGTGAAAATTAATATTATGGACGATTAACTGGCAGAGGCTGGAGCAGCTCCCCTGCCCAATGCAAGCAAGCGACTGCTCCAGCCCGGAGGGGGCTACTGGAGGCCTGGCCAGGAGCACAGAGTGCTCCAAGTTGGCCAGAGCAGTCCCCACCCGCCCCCATTAAGCAGTTAACTGATTAAACAGGATTTTATATCCCTACTGCCTATCAGTGAGCCATTTCCATAGGACTGCCTGGCATAAGATCTTAGTGTCAATTGCGCTGAGGAGACAACCCAACCTTGTCCCCAAGGGATACGTTGCCAGAGGCATGGGCACTAGGGATGTTAAATATCAGTTAACTGAATAGTCGATTAACCTCTTGAATTCTTCGATTAGTCAATTATTCTATAGTCCCTGGGGATGGGGCCAACAGCCAGTGAGCTCTGGGCCCACTCCCAAGGACCCCCTGCTACTCCTGTATCAGAGGCTAATTCTACACTGCGGGGAAAAGTCAGAAAATGATATGCAAATTGCAAACCACAAATTGCATATCTTTTTCTGCTTTTCTTCCAAAAGAGGCTTTTCTGACATTTGGCCCATCTACACAGGGCCAAATGTCAGAAAAAAAAACCCCCACTTTCAGAACATCGTTTCTTCCTCATAGAACGAGGTTTACAGGGATGCCAAAAAGACACGTCTGCTTTTCCGAAATATTTTGTATCCCGGAAAAGCTCTACAGTGTAAACATATCCAGAGGCAGAAGCGGGGGCTGGCAGGCACAAGCTGGTCCGCGAGGGGAGACAGTTTAAAAACGAGCTCCTATCATGGACTGGCTGTCTGTCGCCCCGTGCTGCTGCCTCTGATCCAGGGGCACAGGGTGGCAGCAGCCCCTGTCCAGGTGAGGGGCTCAGTTCCCAGACCTGGCATGAGCTAAAACTGAACCGAGCTACCTGCCCGCATGGCTCCTAATACACTTTTAATGCAGAGCAGCAGCAGGATAAGAACATAAGAATAGCCATACTGAGTCAGACCAGCAGTCCATCTAACGCAGTATCCTATCTGCCAACGGTGGCCAATACCAGATGCCCCAGAGTGAGGGAACACAATAAGTAATCCTGATGTCATCCCTACCCATTTCCCGATAAAGGCTAGGGATACCATTCCTACCCATCCTGGCTAGTGGCCATTGATAGACCTAACCTCCATGAATCTATCTAGCTCTTTTTTAAACCCTGTTAAAGTCCTAGCCTTCACCACATCCTCTGGCAAGGAGTTCCATAGGTTGACTATGCGCTGAGTGAAGAAAAACTTCCTTTTGTTTGTTTTAAACCGGCTGCCTATTAATTTCATTTGATGACCCCGAGTTCTTATATTGTGGGAATAAGTAAATAACATTTCCTTCTTCATTTTTTCCCCCACACTAGTCATGATTGGGGTAGGTCCCGGAACTGGCACGAGCCCGAAGTAAGCTGGGCTGCTGGCCAGCTTCCTAAAAAATTCACTGACAGGTGGGCAGAGGGAGAGGGGATGTGTGTAGTCTATAGCATTAACCTATAGGCTTTTGCTTATCAATTAATTGACTACACTATTACATCCCTAATGGGCACAGAGTTATTTCCCTGTCTGCCAGACTCAGCTTAGGCCTTGCACATGCCATCACAGGATAACAGCAATCCCCTTTCATTACAATAAAGGCAAGTCCTTTAGCATCTCAGAAATGCTTATATTGATAATTTTACTGAGGAGGCGATGCTTACTGTAATTTCATCTCATTTTCTTGCAAAACTTATCTACTGCAGCAGAGGGAAATCTGTGCCATGGAATGAAGGAAAAAAACACCGCAAATTTTGTTAGACTGCCTTATATGGATAATGTTAATACTATTTCCCTTAAAGGAGCTAAAAAGTATTCAACAGCAACAAAACAATTTTTGAAGAAAAATTAAGAGCCTGTGTTTCCTTTTTTAATCTAATTACAGAATTTAGGATCTGATTTTGCACTGAGATTAGTTAGGACAGGCCTTTATGACTATACAAAACTCTGTTGGTGACAGGAATTGTGTCTTCTTTGTACTGTACATGTACTTTGTATTAATGTTTTCACGATAGATAATTTTTCTTAACAGTCTTTATTCAAGTCTGCTCACAATCCCTGCTGTGTTAAGTGCTTTTTATTATGACATGTATATTCTTCAACATTTTCAGGCCAAGACCTGTTCTGGTAAAAGGCTTTCCACATTAGAAGCTTTACAAGTGATACCAAACTTGTGTCTATGATATTCTTTTCAACAACATATAAAGTCTTTTTTTGCAGCTTGGGAAAAAAATATTCCTCAAAAGTGCACTATACAGAAATATTTACTAAACAGAGGTGCTGGCATGAGAACTCAAATGGTGGGCTTGAAATGTTTGCTAATAAAAAAAGAGGTATTAAAGAAAAGTAGTGCTATATCTTTTAAAACAGGTTTGAATTTTTAGTTCTGTCAGTTCTGAGAGGGTAGAGATTCTGTGTGTGTTGTTTTTGACTAAAACAGATTTCAATGAATGAAATGACTTTAAGAAGTAAATAGACACAAAGAAAACTCCAAAAGTTCACTGGCATTCAATTGACAGTACTGCTATTGCTCAGTGTTACCAGGGGGAAAAAATTGTAAAACCATAAAAACCAACCAAATCTTGACCTTACACAACCACTTTTTACTCATCACAAGTTAAGCAAGTGTTATTGCCAATCTATTTTAAAACCATCAACTGTGTTAAATATGTAGTCTAGTGTTGTCTGTCAAATACTCTCCTAAAACTTTTATCAGAATTTTGATACTTTCTGCAGCGTTGGGGCGGGGGCGGGGTGTCAACAAGTGAGTTGCTGAGATGTGGAAAATTGTACAAAAACACTGATCTCTTTACCTTGGAAGTGTATCCAGCACAGTCTTCAGCTCATTACATATGAGTTTAACAAGGCCACTCTTTATGTTACTATATGACACATCAATCATGAAGATATAGGCTGGTGGGTTTGGAGGCTTGTTGTTCTATAAAAAAGACACAATCATCAGCCACATACACAGAGCAAAACTAGAAAAAGAGATATGCTACAATCAATAAAATCTACAGACTGCTCAATCAGGCAATCGATTATTTGATGGCTGACACCTTCACAAACTAACCTAAAAATGATGACCTAATTTTTGAAAAACACCATCTCTTGAATAAAACTTTATTACAGGGCAATAGCTTCCTGCTGGCAAACAACTTCACCTTGATGTTTTATATCAGATGAAGACAAATATGGAAAGTTTTCTGGAAATTTTCAAATATTTTTACATGTCTGGCTCTTAAACCCCTTTTATTTTTCCTTTCCATTTACATTTGTGTAATAGCATTGCACTATAATAATTTTTTCAATTTTCATCATCATTTTCACCAAAACACTGATAATTTATAAGAACAATCAGAATTAAACAAAACAGCTCAATCACCTGCAATACTAATTTGCCAACACATACTTCTTCACTGCCGGTTAAAGTGTATGTCTTGTGCTCTAACAAATTTTGACAACAGCTGAATTTGGAACCAATGAAAGGCCCTCTGTACTTTTAGGAAAAAGCTGATTTTATATAAGATAAATAAAGCATAAGTTCACATCATTTATACGTAAACAAAAGCTATCAACATGTTGGATTGGGACTGATTCTTTTGGGTAAAACTGCTTCCATGTTGTTTCTTGTTTGTACTGTAACAAATAATGAACATACTATACTAAACTACACCAAAAGTTTCTGTGTATAGCATGCATTTATAAAGTTGTTAAAAAGTAGATGAGTAATATCATTCTTATGGTGAGAGAAACAAGTTTCAAGCTTACACCTAGCTTTTCTTTGGGTGTGGGAAACATACTGCAAATGGAACAGATTATTTAGCATAAGTAGTTAACACATATTTCAAGACGCCATTCAAAGTGGAGTGGTCCATTAACACCTCTTTAGTCTTCTCAGAAAGGAAGGAAGAAAAGAAAAAAAAAAGGTAGTAGCGGTGATGGTGGGGGAAGGTTTGTTAGTGGGTTACAGGTTGTTGTAATAAGCCTTAAATCTATTCCCTATTCAGGCCAAGATTTTTAATGTCTAGCAAAGTTAGGAATTTAAGTTTCCAGGCCCATCTTGTGAAGATGTGGTACAAGTTTCCTTTTGAGGATGAAGACTATGAGGTCAGATATGGAGCGACCGTTTTGCGAACCATGCAACGTATTGGTTTTGCCCTATCTTTTTTCTCAGTTCATGGAAGAGTGTGTAGTGATTGTCTGTTTCACCCTCTTAGCTGTTTTGGGGGCCTTGAGTGGGGATACCACATGCTCTGATAACCGTGTGTAGGAACCACAAAAGGTGTGTCTTTACTGAAGTGGGTTTATCATTATAGCAATGGGGAAGTGTCTTCAGCTTTTGCATCAATTGTTCTGGCAAAGTCTGCTGCAGCTAAGTGCAAGTGTGTGCTGGTCTGTGGGAGGCCTGCTTCTGACAATGAACTTGGAGAGGTTAGGGGATTGTCTGAAGGCCTGTTCAGTTATACCATGCTGCAACCTATGTAAGGTAAGGTAACAACTAAGGTTGTATAATCAGAGGGAGTTTTATTGCCAGACTGAAGCAGGTTCTCTCAGAGTATGTGGGTGGCTCATTCCATGATGCAGTCTACTTCACTGGTGGACTGTCCTTTTTTGGTGAAGGAGGTTTTAAGGTTTTAAGAGTTTAACGTTCAATGAAATACACTAGTTTGAGCAACCTAGACAGTGAAGTGCTTTATTTACAAATCAAAGACAGCCTGGGCAGCAGCAATGCAATCTTATCTAACCTTTTATCCATACTGTCATGATTATGAGGGTTAGCCAGCAGCCTGGGGATTAAGGGGTTAACTACACCTAGCCAGGTGGAGAGACCAATAAGAATGTAGGTGGGACTTTTCAAACTGGGACAAAGGAATTTGGGTTTTTTTTCCTTTCTCCTTTTGTCTCGCAGAGAGTTCTCTGCAGCTACAGAGAGGGACAAGCATGTCTCTCTCTCTCTCTCTCTCTCTCTCTCTCTCCAAGACACCATTCTTCATTTTCTGTAAGTAGGGTAAAGTTTAGGCAGTTTCGTTAGGTTTTATTGTTTTATGGATTGGGTATGGGATCTGAGATCTGGCACTGTTTAAAAGATGTTTTGGCTTTTCTTTGTAACTAAGTTCTAGGCCCATGGAGTTTCTCCATGAGTATATTTTGTTACCTCCCTATCTAGTCATTATGGTTGCAACAGGAATATTGTTGTAATAATAAAGGTTCTTTCTTTTCTTTTTATTAACCTGGCAGTGGTTAATTGTGTGCCTTGATTTTTATTTTAGGGGTAAGATTTCCCAAATGATCTTTCCCCTGATTTCTTTATCAACATTTGGGTGGTGGCAGCGGAAGTTTTATTCCCCAGATCTAGGTTTTTAAGATCTTGGGGGGAAGTTTTATACCAAAGCCTGGTAGATAAGGCTTTGGGGTACACTCGCTGGCCCCCACTTCTGCATTTATCATGCCAGAGTGGGGAAGGAGCCATGACACATACTACAAATGTGATTGCTGGTTCAACTGTTCTAGCAGAATTCCCTAGTGTAGACATAATGCATGCCAAGTGAAGGCATTATCAGTGTAGCTAAACCACTTCCCCCAAACAAACTGGGTAAGCCAATAGAAGCACTCTTCCACCAGAATTATTTTGTCCACCCGGGGGCTTCACCAGCATGAGTATATTGGTTGTGGATATGTTTTCTTTCATACCACTGACATAGCTACAAACAAAGCAACAAACCTTTGCAGTGTAGCCCTGGCTTAACGTTTCACTAAATGTTCTCTGGCTTTGTTCTGAAGGCCCTGCTAGGGGAGACAAAATAGTTCATTTTCCATGACTATTCAGTCTTTAGCTTCCCTACTAAAACTAGCAATAACCATTACTTACAGTCTAGTGCGAAGATGTTTTTGTGTGCTTGTTTTTATCAGGTGGACACCCATCTACTAGGAAATAGCCCAAAGCCCATCAATGTATGCTGTTCCAATGTATGCCATCAGATAAATAGTTCCAGTCATGTGAGTCATAGTGGAAACACAAATCCATACTACATGATAAACTCCATTTTCTCATTACCTAGCCCCTTAATTATAACATTCACATCCCCCATATATTTACCCTAAACTTAAAATTATGGCCCTCATTTTCCCTTCACGTACACTATTGTAAGGCAGGAGTTCTACAGGGAGGAAAATCAGGTCACGTTTTTACAAGCTGTTTTGATTTTAGTATTTGGATCCCACTTAAAAAAATCAAATGTACTTTTATAAATCCCACAGCAGTTTATAAAAAGATCTTGGCTAATTTCTGACATCTATATGAGAGAAATGAAATGTTGTGCTTTTGCCATCTCCACCTAATAGAATAGCAATAATATAAAACAGCTGTTATTTATTAACATTTTCTTTTGCTGTTCATCCTCATCATTTGATAAGCGCAAAGGAAGTGATTCTTCAGTTTGGTCTAAGATTTAGAAAAGAAATAAACTTTACTGACTCAGACCAATGTTTAAAAAAAAAAAAAAAAGATAAAAAAAGATAAAATGACTCTGTCAGGTTCCCAAGAGACCATAGCTTAATACTTTCAGAGAGACTTTATATTTCTAACAGTTTTATTTTAAAATAAAAACTTGATACAAATCCACATGAATACCCACTTTTGTGAGAAGACAGTTAAAATAGGAGGCTTCTTGACAAAAAGCTATTTATCAGAGCTCTTGAATGAATTAAGCTTTATGACAAGAGCTTTGCATATCAAACTATTATCTGAAGATGCAAGCATCAGAAAGGATCAGATTGTAGACTGGATAACATGCATCTTGAGGATACTTTAGCGCACACTCAATAGACAACATTTATTTTTTAAAGTTTATGGGGCAGCTCTTTAGCTGCCGTAAGTCAGGACAGCTTTGTTGACACTGATGGAAGCTACATCCATTTAGTCGAGCTGAGAGTCCTGCAGTTTAGTCCTAAATTATACATCTGTGGTGCCCAACACACAAGCCACTATCAACATGTGACTATTTGGCCATTTGAGTGTGGCTAGTTCGTTATAGCAGTAACCACTATAATGGCTAATGCTTCAGAACTGGTCGAACACCGTGGTTATAATGGATATCCCTACTTCAGCTCATTTCTGAGCTAAGACCTGATCCAGATCCCAGTGAAGTCAACAAAAAAGTTCCCAACAAATTCAATGATCTTTGGATCAGGCCTCCAGTGAACTAAAAGGTCAGTTAATCAGCTTGCTGAGTTTGTCAAACTTACAACATATAAACAGGCTTACGAAAATCATTTGGCCCGACAAGTGGGTGGATCTAGCCCATGGAGGCCCTGCTGCTCCCCTACCCCCAGGCCAATTAGAGCCTGGGGGCAGGGGAACACACGAAGCCTCCTCCCATACCAGGGGCACGGGCACCCAGGGAGAACGTGAGGAGGGCAAAGGCACTCTCTTACCCCCAGACCAATCATTGTCTGGGGGTAGGGAATTCAGAAGTATCTTGGCCTCATCTCTCCCGCTTGATGCCCCACCTCTTCCCAGGGCCACTTTGAAAATTTCCGAAGTAGCCCCGAGAAAAAAATTAGTGCACACCCGACTGTGGTCCTTCTTCCTTTGGAATTACTAGGAATTTTGTCAGTCTAACAGGAACCATGAACAACCATATTAGTGGGGGAGGAGGAGGAGGTTAGTTTTGGTACATTATTCTGGGAGTTTATCTACAATTTTGAAAATGTTCATTGACTTTAGAGCTTCTGGTACAAAGTAGAAAAGCTTTCATTCCGTTTTAGATACTTAAAGGATTCCATTTGTTTTGACATAAATTCATAAACAACATTCCAAGCTGGAAACACTTACTCTGCAATAATCCAATGTAGCGACAAATTCATATGATCCGAGAGATAACTCTGGTCTTTCATAGTGGTCTGTTCTTCTGCCAACGTGGTCCAGATGTTGAAAAAAGAATGGAGGGACTAAAGAAACAAAGGACAGCAAAACTAATTTTTCTCCTTTTAATAAACACAACTGAACCAAGGCAGCCTCCCATTTCTCAGGGGAGGGCAAATGCTTAGCTGGGAAACAGATTTTATGCCACAACAGCACTGTTTTTTTTAAAGGGTACTTTGTGCATATTGTCAATCATGCGCATGCACTGACTGTCTTTGAAGAACTAAATGTTTTTCCCCCTCACAACACTTGAATCTTTCACACTCATTCTTGTGCAGCTGGGGATAGTATAGGCTGGGAGAAAGGAATCTGTCTTTCCCAGGATGCAGGGACAGTAGAGCTACTTCAGGCTTGTTGCGGTGAACCTGAAGCTGATATAGTCCCAGTGACAAGAGCCAATGGATCTGTGGAGTCAGACTCAGCAGCAGCACCTCTCCACCAGCCAGTCCCATTCCACCTACAAGTTCTGCTGCACAGAAGGTAGCTCTAACAGGGTTTACCAATCTTAGCTTTCTATATAGCAGAACTGAATCTGTTCTACTGTGCCGGGAGCATTCTGCCATTACAGAGAAGAGGCGCAGGGCTTGAGGACTAAAAGCAAATGACAGATTATGCTGCAGGATTCTTGGCAACCTTAAGAAATGAGTCCTAAAAAAATTAAATAATTTCATCTAAACTGCAGGATGGCAAAAACATTTCATGTCTAATTTTTAGAGCAAGAACAGACAGCAACCCTCTGGGGTCTAGCTAGTCCCATCTCCACCAATTACTTCCCTGATAACCTTCACTTAAATGTGTTGCATCTCAGTTTTCCTCATTTTAAAATGGGGATAATGCTTATCTGCCTCGCAGGGGAGTTTTGAGGCTCAATTAAAGGTGACATGTCAAATGCTTTAAGACCCTTGAAGGAAAGGCACTGTAGAAGTACAAAGCATGATTTAATGTGATATTATTATGCAAACATGACAATATTTACACTGTTTATAATGCACACCATATGTGTTTATGAGAATTTAAATTGAACAAACAATGCAAACTTGCCATCTGTTATTCTTTGCCCAAAAGAGTGAGCTTCCAGCCAAAAAAAAAGTTGGCATGAATCTTTAAAGGTTCATGTTTCAGAGTTGAAAAGATTACTGTATTAGGGAAAGTACTATACCACTGTGATCCTGCTGAGGAAATCCAACTTGATACAAACGTCTAGAAAGACTAGTTCTGGCAAGGACTTGGGACCCAGCCAAAAGAAAGAGAACAGTTACTTATGAGTCACATGCAGCACACTTGAACAAATATGGCATGGTATCTTCTGTGAAAACCAAGACTTGTCATAGTAAGATTAATAGGTGATTTAACCATTAAATGTTTGGACACAAACTCCTACGCTGTTCTAAATATTTGTTCTTTGCCAAGCACTTAACGGCATATTTAAATAAATGTATTTTCATTTGAAATTCTAGATAGCAGTTTAGAATAGAGCAAAAACATATCCTGTGTTGACAAAATATTTAAAAAGATAATTTTTGATGGAGCTATAGACTGGATTTCATTATGATGCACATGTATATTTTGTTACAGTAGATTTCTTTTTAATAGTGGTTTTGACCAGAAGGTTTTGGTATTTTTTCCTCAGTAAACTATTTAAAAATAATTCTGATGGAATACTACTGGGTACATCTCACTAATTATTTTCATTTCAGTTGAAGACATTACAAAATATAATTACCGCTATTTCTTCAAAACTGTTCTATTATATTTCCTGAAAACTTTTCACTTTTCTAGTGATGAGAAGGGCTCAATCCTCAGTGAAAATCAGAGCAGTTTTCCCAACTGTAACAGAACCAAGCTGATTTGAAAAAGTTGAGAATCTGACCAATAAATGTTTTCAGATGTATTCAGGCTGACTAGGAATAGAAGATTTGGATCACAGTGAATGCTGTTTCCTGCATTAATGAACGAATAATATATACAAATCTTATTATTATATAGTTTAGAAATGCGTGTCTGTCTGTGAGTCTGTTTGTACAAGAACTCATTCTAAATGGCAAGAGCTAGGACCACTAAATTTGGTATGCAGCTTCCTCTTATCATAACTTAAAGCAAGGTCAGAGTTTGTTTGTGCCAAGACAATGGGATGTGCCTTGAACTAAATTGTTTCTCCAAATGGAAAGGGAGGGGGTCTGTCAGGAGGGAAAGTTATGCTGCAGAATGGCTACTGGGGGCAGCAAGAAGCCAAATATGGGGACCAAGACAGCTAAAACCCTATGGGGCCAGCAGGGGTGGAGAAAGAGACAGCTATCTACTATATATTTCAGAGAGTTTGTTTGTATGTCTGTCCCCCAGCATGGGGGATGCATCCCTCCCACACCTGTGCCCACTGCAGCAGCCACAGACAAGCACTTCTCATCAGGCCCCAAGCTCCTGTGATGAGAGGGGGCCTTGGTTGTTCTCTCTCCCCAGGGCAGCCTGCATACAGAACACCCTCATCCCCAGCCTTACCCCAACCCAATGATTTAAATGAAGAAAAACAAAAATTATTTGAGTTAAGGACCCAAGCAATGCTGGGTAAATTTTCTAGCAATGTATAAATATCACTTACCATCATTAACACAGTTGCACAGTCCACACTGATACTTTCTTCCCCCTTCAATAAACTGCATGAAAGGGCACATATAGGCTTTGCATCTGTTGCATCTAATTGGCCCAGTCTCCCCATGGTTAACAACATAAAGAGGTGTCTAAATAGAACAAAAAATAGAGTTGTAAAAAACATCGCTGAAATACTAACAACCATCTGGGCAGGTACCAATGCATCTGAACTCTCTTGTTAATTATTGCCTCTATCAGCTAATCACTGTCCAGGATTCACCCAATTTTGAAACATTTAATTTGTTAAGAGCAAGTATTTCATGTACTGCTCAAGAAGGCTGGGGAAGCTACAGAAGAGACTAATTTTCTTCTTGCTGAAATGTGCCATGACAACAGTTTTAGTATCTTTTCTGTAGAGCTTTAGTCAGTTGAAAGGAGAGAAAGCTGCCTTGAACTGCAATTACTCCCATTCAGGGCCCAATTTGTCCATCCTTATTCCCAATAAACCATGTCTTAATAAGCAGTGCTTGACAAATAATACAATCTACTTGCCCGTGGCGAGTAGATTGTAACCCGGAAGAGCCGGGTTCGGGCGATTTGCGCATGCACAGATCACCGAACAGCGTGGCTGGCGAGCGGGGCTCGCTGCGGTTCGGCGAGCCCTGTTAATAAGCATGATCAACTTGACTAACTGCATAATAAGGGATTATTCAGTATAAATATGGAAGGCAGAATTTGCTTCTGAATGCATGCAAATGTTGATATAGGCTTCTATCAGTTATTCTCTGCAAACAATTAACGCGAGACCCCCTCCCTTGAAAAAGCATCTCTATTCAACTATCTCTCTCACGCACATACTTACATCCTTGTCAACCTAACACAGGATTAAAGTTTAGAATGTGTTTAAACGCTTCTCCTGAATCTGATTTCTCCTTAATTTACAATAGTTCACCAACAGCAAAATGGCAGATGAAATTCAGCATTGCTAAATGTAAAGTAACGCACACGGGAAAGCAATCTCAACTATATATACAAAATGATGAGGTCTAAATTAGCTTAGACCTGTCAAGAAAGATTTTGAAGTCATTGTAGCTAGTTCTCTGAACATGTGCTCAATGTGCAGTGGCAATCAAAAAACCTAACAGAATGGTAGGAACCATTACGAATAGCTAGGACGACAAGTAAGTCTCACATCACCATATGAATCCATAGTATGCCCAGACCTTGAATACTGATTGCAGCTCTGCATACCGAACCCTCATTCCCACACTGAATTACTGTTCTGATTGCTCCCTCTCAAAAAAGATATACAACTTGGGAAAGGTACAGAAAAGGGCAACAAAAATGCTTAGGAGTATGAAACAGCTTCCATATTCAGAGTGAGTAAAAAGCCTGGGGCTGTTGCTACACTTCAAAGGTGGAGGCTTATTGAGTAATCGAATAATCAATGCAAATTGCATCAACTATCCAATTAGCCAGTTAATCTAAATTTAACATCCCTACTATGTGAAGAAAGTGAGTAAAGGAAGCATTATGTACCCCATCACGTAACACAAGAACTAGGGGTTACGAGATAAAAGTATCAGGCAGAAGGTTTAAAACAAACCTAAGGAAGCACTTCATACACCACACAGTCAACTTGTGGAATGTGTTGAGAAGGCCAATGGTATAACATGCTTTCAAAAAAAAAAAATTAGGTAAGTTCATGGGGCCATCAATGGCTACTAACAAAGATGGTCTGGGATATAGCCCCATGCTCTGGGTGTTCCTAAGCCTCTGACTGCCAGATGCTGGGACTAGACAACAGGGGACATATCAGAATATAACTGTCCTGTTCTGTTCATTCCTTCTGAAGGATCTGGCTTTGGCCCCAGTTGGAAGGGTACTGAGCTAGATAGAACAGTCTTGTGTTCTTATGTTCTCCATATGCAATGTTTCTTGTGTGTGTGTTTCAGTTGGCAGGATGGATTTCATCCCCAAATATGTTTGACCAAACAACTATCATTAACATACTTAAAGGAGACAGCAATATTTCCAAGAGTTATAAAATAATTCAAAGTACAAGGATTCAACCTATTTTTTAAAATAAGTTAAGTGTTTGTGAAGTTTACTAAATTGCCAGCTTTCATGATTAGGGATGTTAAAATGCCCTAATCGAAAAGTCGATAGATTTTCTGTCGACTATTCGATTAGTCAACAAGGAAAGGCAGTTGTGGTGCTCAGTCTGGCTCATGCCAATTCATAGCACAATCGTTCCAGCTGCTGCTCTGCATTAAACAGCCCAGGAAAGCCACGCGCAAAGGTGCTAGCTCAGCCCTCTCTGCGGGTCTCTTTTCATTCTGGTCTGATGAATAAGAGAGACCTGCAGAGCAGGGATCGAGCATGTGCCTTCGCGTGCAGCTTCCCTGGGCTGTTTAATGCAGAGCAGCAGCTGGGCATGCGTTTGAAGTCTGCTGAATGAAGAGAGACCCGCAGAGCAGGGACTGACTGAGCGCATTCACACGCCGGCTTCCCTGGGCTTTACAATGCAGAGCAGCAGCTGAGGTGGGAAGCGACTAGACAATAGCTTATCGATAAGATTCTGCTTATCAATTAGTCGACTAGACGCTAACATTCCTACTCACAATACATCTTCCCGCAGTACTGGTAAGGCAGCAGTTGCCTCCTCACAGTTCTTTGCCAATATGCTTCAACCCTGAACTGGAGGATCCGCCTAGGGATGAGATGGTCTGATAACTCAATTCTTCCTCTTCCAGTGGGGCAGGACGTAGCATTTCAACAAGGACTGTGCTAACTTGGTTATTTTGCTGGTACAGCAGTTCCATGCTACTTGCCCTTCTTGGAAGACAAAGAACCCAAAATGGGAATTAATTCAACCTCAAGGCTGTAGGAAGTGCTGCACGAGGACCGGGAAAATGGTTAGCCATGCGAATGGTAAACTTAATGGGTGACGCTTACTGGGTAACAGTTAAGCATTACCTGGGAGCAGCCCCTATCTGTGGCCAGCTGTAGGTGGAGGACTGCTCTGCTCATGCGGGGAGGGGGTTGAAGCAGCAGCAGAGGGGGGCAATTCAAAGTGCCCAGCCAGCAGAGACTCATGGACTGGGAGCCGGCAGCCCTGCCACCCCCTTCACCACTGCCACTTGTGGCCCTGTATGAGGATGCGGATTCCCAATCTGCATGGGCTGGGAGCCAGCAGCCCAGCGTGGTGTTGGAAGCAGCCAAGCTGGACTCCATATCTGGCTGTGGTTGGCGTACACTGGGGGGGCGGGAGGGGCATGACAAATGTAACTGGTTAACTAATCAATCAGGGTTTTACCTCCCTAATAGAGGTACAGTATAGATAATTATGAGAATGGGGGATGCTTCTTTATATGTGATTGCTCCAGGCTCTTCTCCACCCAAAGCAGTTCCACAAGTCCCAGGCAGCCTCAAAGACATTCCGCTCTTCTGTACCCAGTCTGCTTCCAATCTAATATACATAGCTTTCTAGCATACATGCACTGCCCAGAAAACCAAAGCTGTTTTCTCCTAAACCTACCTGTATCTCTTGATGTAGCATCTTCCTCTTATTCTACCAACGGTGTCAAAATTTGTAGGGTCAGGGTCACTTGCTAGTGTGCAAGATTTAGAAACCCCATTAATATTCAGTGAAGGAAAACGCAAGCAGCAAACAAATAGAGTATCTCAAATCCTGGCCAGTTTCATTACATTGAACAGACTCAATTCCTGCTTCTGCCAAAATCAGAATTAATGGGAGACACTTTCCAGATGTCTCTCTCAGTAACAGCCGTGCAGTAATTGAAGGATTCCTGCAATTATATTCCATGGGTTCGCAAAAGCATATCTGAAGCTAGTAAGTGAAGCAGAGGGTGTGCTCTTCAATTATCATGGATGGTCCCTTATGCACAAACTTCTTTACTTTTTTTTCCCCTAAGTCTCAGTTCCCATTTAGTGCACCTAAACAAAAAAAAAAAAAAAAAAAAAAAAAAAGCAAATCCTGAGGGTAATAGGAGGTATCTCTCTGCAAGGTGAAGAATGTTAAAAGCTTTAGATTTCTGCTAGTAAATCCACTGGAGCTTTGCATCTAAATTATGCTGCCTCTTCATAAAGAATGTGCATGTTTCAAAACAGAACCATAATGTACTTTCGTCTTTTACTGCAGTTTAACAGATGTGAATAAGATAGTAGCAAATAGCAATCCTTATTTTTCCTGTCAGAACCCATTGTTTACACCATCTTTTATTTTTTGTTTGTGTTTTTATGGAGACAATTTTTTCACTCCTTTATTTCTCCCCAGGGTTTTAAATGTTTTGGCAAAGATTTTTCATATGTTAAAATTTTACTGCATTGTCATAAATATGTCCTTCTGCTCCAATGAAGTATCATTAGTTTACTTTCTTCCACACTCAAAAGCAAAGTCAAATACACATTAACCAATAATGTCAGCTAGCAACATTTTAGCAAAATATGTCAGGGAAAATTTTCAGTCATGGGTGCCAAAAGGGCACCACTTGCACGTGCTTTAAAAATAAAATGTAAACACTTTTGTGCTTGTTAATTAGTTTACAATTTTCCAGTCGTCAATCTGTTGTGTTATTTTAATATGGCATGTCAGGTTGCATCAATCACACTGTGCAACCTTAGATAGATCTAATACATGGATAATCTTACCCTACTACATAGAGAGACCCGGATAGAAATCAGATATTGGATCTGTATTTATGCACATTAATCAAATAATTTTTCTAACCTCAATTTGAATACATCTAGTCCCAGGCTATTATTTCACAGCACTATAAAGAAAATACTCGAACATCTTAAGAAAATGGAAACTATCGCAACTGCATTTTTTGAAAAAATGCCCCAAAGAAAACCAGATCTTTAAGCACAAATAAGAGTCTTTTCTAAAATTAATGCCAGAAGGGTGCACTTTTTTTTTTTTAAGTTCAGAGATTGTACATGTGTCTACTGCATTCTCTATATTTAATAAATTACTTTCTTGGAGACAGGTTTCATAAACAGAAAACGCAAACATGATCTTTCTTCTGTTCTCACATTTGGAATGGAATCTGTACCTCCTAAACCCACTTAAAAAAAGCAGTTGCCAGTGGGAGGACAGCAGCCCAAAGCTCCAATCTTGCAAATA